TTTTTTTTTGTATTCCTGACTTTTGACTCAATATAGTTGTTCCAGTTAGCTGCTGACATTGAAGTAAATTTGCAAGCAATGTATGCCGGATATGAGCAACAGCATAAAAACTATGTTCAACATATTATGCAACAGATCGCGCAAATTGACATGCAGATCGAGGCTGAGAAAGATCGTGCCAGAGGTTAGCTTTGTAAAATTTTACAGTTATTTTCCACATATTACATGCTACTTATAGGAGCCATACCGTCTCTTTTAAGTGGAATGACGAGAGAGCCGCCCCCATTACCTGGACCTGGGCCTGGACCAGGTCCAGCCTTAGGACCTGCTCCAGCTGTAGGTCGTCGATCTAGATTCGATCAGCAGCCTGGACCGTTACCCAGCAAGTCACAAGAAGATTATGGCCAGTTTTTCGCACCTCCACCTCGAGCACCACCTAAACAAGGTTGGATGAAAGAAGGTATCTTTACCCTGTGAAATTACCGTTCTGATGTAGTATCCCGCACTTGCAGTTTGTGCCTCCCACCTTTTAACGACTGTTTATGCTTTCTAAATTATGATGGCCTTCTGTTGAAAAAATATGTTTTATGTTTGTTTCCATATTTTATATTTAGAAATTATTCCTGACGGAGATGATATTGACGGTCACCCCTTCAACGAAGAGGATCTCATTCCTAGTGTAAGTTTTTCCTCATCATATATTTCTGTCTTCCAAGTTATGTTGAGAAAGTTACTCTTCAAATATCTACTTCATTAATTTGTTTGTTGCAAATTCTTTAAAATGAAAATTTGATTTGGATGTGATTGATGCAGGGGTATCTGCAATTATGAATTTGTTGATCTAGAAACGGGACTAATAAGATGAGTGCTTTTGTTTCGTCTATTCTTGCTCATGTTTCTTTTCGATTACTCCGCATATGCTTTACTTAGTGATGGTTCTCATTCTGTAAGCACGTGGAAGTCACGCGATTTTTCCCAAAAATTGGTGTATGACTTGTGTCTCTCTTCTTTCTGCTTACTAATGGAACTTTTTAGGCTAAGTACTACGAACTCCCGGCCGGCATTATGATTCCGCTCATTGAGATTGAGCAGTTTTCGGTGGGCATCTTGCTTTGCATATTTAATTCTCCTTATCTCGTTTATCTCGTTTCAAATGTATGTAGCAAATGCACACACTCTGCATTTGAATAAGTAATAGTTTTCATGTTTTTATAAAACTGTCTGTGCAGCCGCAGTATTCTGCATGGGATTACTTTCAGTACAATGCGATCGTTCCGGACAAACTGAGAATGCCTCCCCCTGTCCCACCATCTCAAAGATTGTTAGGCGCGTTAGATGAATTCTACAGCGCCACTCTTGATCCAACACGGGAACCGTGCGTTATCATGTTTGCTAAACTTTTTGAATGTGGATACGGTTTTCTAGCTAAACTGTGGCGTTTCATTTGCCAATTTGTTTGGCATTTCAAAACTGAAAACTTTCAGGCCACTTGCTGCATGGGGTCGTGGGGGATGCGCTGAATTTATGGAACGGAAGCAAAGCTTGAAGAAAATCTTGGAGGAGAAATTGAAGGTTGGAGAAGTTACCTGTTGTGGATATGATGATGTTAGGTTTTTCAATTTTCTTGTTCTTTTACTGTCAGAGCGAGAACAAAACAATTGGCGACCTTGTCGAGAATAAACCTTCAGATGAGGAGCTTAAGATCGTGCAGGATGATATCAATGCCGAAATTAAGCGCAAGTATGAAGAGATGAGGAGGTGCTTTTTAAAATTCTCATTTTCTTTGTTGTTTATAACTTTCACGCGGAACTTTGGTTTTCCTATCTTTTTTCTCTAACAGAAATGCTTTGGCTAACAAGGAGAAGGAGAACCGTGATTCGACATCCCCACAATCACCAACGGAACGAAAAACGCATGCTCGTTCAAAGTATTGCTCAGAACCTAAGATAGTGGAGTTGTTGCTAGGAACAAATCGCTGTTCTTTTGACAGGCGTAGCCGTAGCAGTTCCTCGTCTTCATACTCTTCAAGATCATCCAGATCTAGCTCATCTTCATCTACTGGATCAAGCACATCTTCTCGATATCGTTCGAGGAGCCGTTCTTATTCGCCTAGACGGAGGTAATTCAGCAGAAATTGTAATTATGTCATCAAAGTTTTTTGAATCATTTCATGCGTTGAAAACCATTTTTTTTT